TTCACGTGAAGAGATTATTAACACTATAAGAATCTAGGAAGAGTGACTCATAAGTAAGAGATTCAGTAATCAAACATGGAATCAAAACTATGTAATCAAGAATTACTTGGTACTCACTTTGCACAAGAAGGGAGAGAGCTGCTGTGGATGATACAAAGGAATTTAGAAGATGCAGATCTGAGTTTTCCTTGTCACTCACCGCCGCAGGTACACTTTCTTAGCCATTATGTAAATCTTCAAATTGTTCTAAGTGCTTTTGGAAATCAAACCTTTACTTCTATAAAGGCAAAGAATAACCCCTTCCTCTTGTAAAGCACTTGATAACCTTCAAAACACTTATATTCACAATCTCACATCATAGTCAGAGCAGAATATACAATAAGAGGGCAGGTATACATGTGGATTCATACATGTATTTTGCACCTTACAAACTGAGGTGTAAAGAGATCGCTACATTCCCAAAGACACAACTAATAAGTGATGGAAAAGAGATTAGAACAAAAGTATTCTGACTTCAAACACAGAGTTCTTTATATAACAGTATGTAAATGAGATAGTGTTATTTGACAGAAAACAGGAGAGGAGAGGGCGGAGGAGAAAAGAGGTTTAGGGCACTTGTCAGACAAAACTAATGCTCAACTTCCCCTGTCTCTGAGAGTTCTTCATGCTACCCTGCCCACTTTTTATTGCTGTTTTATTCTTGTTCCAGATCTAGTTATGTCCCATCACATTTATAAAAATTTTTTCAGCTCATTTCAAACTCCATTTAAGGCCCTTTGAACTTGATTAGCATTTTTTCTATGAAATGGAAATATTAATCCCTTCTCACTGGTCATTTGCCTGTATATTCTTTCAAGTTGTTATTTTATAGTTTCATGTCTCCATGAATAGATGGTAAGCTTTTTGCCAGCAAGCAGCAGGAAAAATCGACCATTCTGCCCCTTCTTTAAAAGCCTCAGAGACACACGGGAGGGAAAGGAAGGCTTTAAAAGAGATCTCACCAAAGAAAAATGCAGTTGGCCTGATTTTATCCTGACCTGCAGCCTGCTTGCTAGTTACATTTATTTTGTTAGTACATCAGTGTAGAACTACACTGTCAAATACAGTAGCCACTAGCAGCTTGTGACTAGCTAAACTTAAAGTTCTAAAACACTTGTTGAGGTGTAATTGACATACCTTGTGCACTTATTAAAATGTACAGTTTGATCATTTTTGACATATGTGTACACCTGTGAAATCATCATCGACACCAAGATAATGAACATATCCTTTCCCCACAAAAGTTTTTTCATGACCTTTGTAATACATCCCCCCAATGCAGTGTGTCCACTCCATCCACATCCCTAACAAGGTGGCTGATTCTGGCCCCTGGGGACCCCTTAGACTTCCATTCTGCCTCTTGCCCTTCCTGATTATCCTGACAGCTAGAAGACCAGGCCACCGCCTATGCGTGTGAGAGTCAAGTCTATCACAATCCCTGTGAATTCAAAAAGAACAGTTGCATCACAGGCTGCTTCACATGCTCCGGCTGGGCCAGAAGGTGGAGCTTCCTGACCGACCAGTCTTAGGCTTTGCAGAGCCTGAATTTGTGGCCCTTCCTGGGCACCCTGTCATCGGTGACCTCTGCTGTCCCCATTGCCGCTCCGTGGGCACCAACCCTCCCTGTAATAAACCTAATGGCATCCAGTGGTAAAGAAAAAAAATAAAACAAAGAATAATAACAACAACAAAACAAAACCATTGATCTGCTTTCTAGCATTATAGATTTGATTGCATTTTATGTTGATGGAACCATATAGTATGTATTCATTTTGGGAGGAGTCTGGCATCTTTCATTACACATAATTATTTTGAGGTTCTCCACATTTTTGCATGTATCAACAGTCATTCACTGTTGTTGGGCTGTGTTCTATTACATGCATGTACTACAATTTCTTCATCTAATCACCTCTTGGTGGGCTATTAGGTTGTGTCCAGTTTTTGACTGTTACAAAAAAAAAGCTGCTATGAACACTCTTGTGCAAGTCTTTGTATAGCCATTTGCTTTCATTTTTCTTCGGAAAGTAGCAAGAGTGGAATGGCTGGATTACATAGCAGTTATCACTTCAGTATCACTCAGCAGTGATAACACTTCAGTAAACGCCAGTATTTTCCCATTAGCATGATGCTGGCTTTGAGGATGAGGTGGATATATTAAGACAGCATCCATCTCTTGCTGTATGGTTAAAAGATTTTATAAGACATTTTGGTGTTAATTGCTTTTTAAGCATCTGTGTAGATACTCATGTACTTTTTCTTCTTAGCTTACTAGTAAGACAACTAGTTAGATAAATTATATTAATAGACCTACCAATATTGAATCATCATTATATTCTTAAAATAAATACTCCATCATCATTTTTGAATATTTCATTGTATTCTGTTTTTCAGTATTGTACTTGAGATTTTTGCACAAATATATGAGTAGGGTTGATGTGTGCAGCTTTTGCAATTGTAGGATTTAATATTAATATTATACTTGCTTCTTAAAAAGAAATGGATAGATTTGCTTCTTTCCCTATATTCTGGAATATTTTATATAATACTAGTTTACTCATTCTTTAAATGTGAAACCAATAGAAGATACTGCTTTTTCCCCATGTTTTCTTGTTCAGATTTGGAAAGGAGTCTGGTAAGAATTTCTCTCTCTTCCAGGGTAGTTTTGGTTAAGAACTGAATCCACTTGCTTCCACATTGCTTAATTACCAGGACTGAGAACTGAGACCACCTACGTCAGCCTGACATCACTATCGGTTCAAGAAAATTCTTTCCCAGGAAGATAAGAATATAAATCAATAAATATCTTCGTTATTAACTGAAGAAATTTTCTGAAAATCATTGTGCCCTGTTTTCTCACCTTCTCAAATAGTGATTCTGATAAACAATGAATTGTTTACATAGTTGAGCAGCTTGCTTAATAAGCAACAGTTTAGTGATGAAGAACTGTTTCTGTACGCTCATCTCACTGTACTCAACAATCCTAATGTGCCATATCCCAATCAGTTACCTACCTTGATGGACTTATCTTAAAACACTTGATCTCAGACTCCAAAACCCTATGCATCCCTGCCCTTGACATCTCCACTGTGAGATACTACCAAGCCTTGGCCAAGGCTGTGTTCTCCCTGACTGCAACCGTTTAATGAACTTGGCTTTGATTAATCAACAGGTTGCCCGGTGGTCTTTTGGGGGAGTTGGTAGTTGACATGGGAAATTATATTTTTCTAGAATACTATTCATTCATCCAGGTCTTCAAATTTAGTTGTATACAGTCGAGCATACAGTTTTTAATGGTATTTTTAAAAGATCTTACTTTTTATTTGTATTTTCCTTTTTAAAAAATTTCTCCACTTGAGATGTTTTCACCTTGTTTCTTGACTAGGTTACCAACTGGTTTGTCTATTTATGTTATTATTATCATTTCTACTATTATCCGTTTTTTAACAACAAAGATTTTTTAAGCACTTTCAAAGCCACATTTGATAGGCACTATATTTAATTATTTTAAAACATAAAATAATTTTTAGAAACTTCACAAAACCAGTTTCTTCTTCCATTTTGACCCAAGAGTTGAATAGTTATTTTTGTATGCGAAATTTATTGATTTATACTTAAAGGTCCTATTACCTTTTTGATTCTGTTAATTTCAATTTTTATTTTATTTTGACTAGAAAAGGTGATATTTCTAACTTTTAAAATTTACTGAAGTTTTCTTTAAGGCATAGTATATATATTCTATTTTTTTGATATTCATGAAATTTGAAAAAACAAAGCCAAAGTCTCTATTTTCAGGGTATGGAATTTGATATATACAATGATGCACATAGCTATTTATTATATGTGATTTTATTTATACAAAAATGTATATATGTTGTTTATTATACTGTATAATTTGAAATCTGTAATATTATGTATATTATTCTGTTATATAAATTTAGCTTACTAATTACATTAGTAATATGTACCTTTTTTTCTCTTTTTAATATACATGCTCTGGCATGGAATGAAAACTATGAAATAAAGTTTCAGGTCCGAGGCCGAATTCCTCGCGTGCGGCGGCCGCGGACGGCCCGGCGTCCGGCCGGACGGAGAGCCCTGGTCCGGCGCGCGCGGGCGGCCGGGCGGGCGGCGGGAGTCATAACCCCTTTTTTATAAAGTATCTTTTTTTTCTTAATGCTTTTTTATATGAATTCCAATTTATAATTATTAGCTATTTT